TTAAGGGTGTTAAACCAAACTTTCGTCAGACCACATTTGGAATATGGGATTCAAGCAGCTAGTCTTTGTTTCATGTATGGAGCGAATATACTAGAACAAAATCAACGACGAGGGACCAAAACGGTAAAGAGTCTCCTCGGTATATCCCGTGAAAACAGGCTGCGATACAGTCTTCAGTAATAAGGTTAGGAGATCTATTGACTTATATTAATCCTTGCAGTTTGTAATACTATGGAGGTCCAATCTCGTTTGGAATATATTAACAGAAGGTGCCGATATTACGTGTTCCGGTAGAGAATTCCAGCGATTCACTACCGGTGCGAGAAACGAAACTCCAGACGTAAACGATTTGATCTCAATTTGAGAGGACATCCGAAGAAAGTTCAAAAACCATCAGTCCTAGACGGAAGTAAAAGATAAGACACGCTAATACCAAGGTCATCGTTCAGTATACAATAGGCCAATATTAGATCACCACGTACCCTACGGTAAGATAACGGAAATAAGTTAAGGTGTCTCAGTCTGTCCTCAGAAGATAGGCCAGATAGACTTTGAACCATCTTAGTCCCTCGTCGTTGGACTCTTTCCAGCATATCTGCTTCATACTTGAAACAAGGACTCGCTGATTAAAACCATATTCTAAATGTGGTCGCACGTAAATCGGTTATAATATTCTAAACATTCCATTATCTAAATATTGGAAAGACCTACGAATAGACCATAATACCCTATAGCCTTTCGCAGCGACTAATGGTTTTCAGATTACTGCCTAATATGACTCCTAAACCTTTATAGTTTCTTACTTTAAGTAGCACGAATCCACCTATTGTGAAGTGATACGATTCATCATATTTATTTGCATTACTACACTCTTATTAGGATTTACTTCTAGTGACCACCTGTCCAACCATGCCACCGATGAGCCAAGATCATTCTGTAATACTATCCTATCCGACATACTGTGTATGGGTCTCCACATTTTTATGCCATCAGCGAAGAGCAGAACAGATGACTTTGCTATAGTTGGTAATTCATTTACATAAAGTAAAAAGAGAAGAGGACCGAGGGTTGTACCTTGGGGAACTCCACTTTTTACAGGTATTCACGAGTAGAGAGCCCCATTTACCCTTAACCTTTGCCTCCTGTCATGGAGAAAGTTACTTATCCAATCTACGACTGTATAATGGATCACGAAACACATCAGTATGAATTTAAGACCAGAGTGAGAGACTTTATCGAAGGCCTTACTTAGATCTATGAAGATAACATCCACTTGAATATTCCGATCTTCTGCAGCAACCCACACCTCTGTTGCAATGAGAAGATTTGTCAAGCCTATAGTTACTAACCAAATCCCCACTCCCAGCCTTTACACCGGACTTATTATAGTGTCTTTCCAGTCTGTGGGCAGTCTGAACTGCTTTAGAGGCATATCAAACAGTATCGCTAATGGTTCAACAATTACATCTGGCTTTCATAATCCTAGCATAAATATCATCGGGACCACTGGATTTATCAGGTTTGAGATACTGAAGTAGCCTTAAAACAGTACCTTTCTCAATGACTACAGGATCCATAAGCGAGCCGTCACGGTCACGATGAATCGTTGTTCGTTCCTCATTACCGATAGAAAATACTTAACTAAAATATTTCGATAAAGCTTCAGCCTTTTCGGCATCATTTTAGCCAAGATTAACGGATTTTCTTGTATCAAAAGTGATGGAATTCCATCGCTTCTATGAGTTTGCCTTTTTATATACCAGAATAGCCGTTTCGGACTATATCTGGAATCCTTAACCAATTGTTTTTCCTATGATAGTCTAGTCTTATTAACGATTTACAGGTATTCCTAATCTTACAATAACTGGATCTGTATTGTTCTAAGCCAGTAGAGATGAACATATTCCAGTGCTTCTTCCTTTTCCTTAGAAGTTTCCTGAAAGGTTTAGTTATCCATGGTGGACTGTTAGTCGGTCTTCGTGGCACCAGGTATGGTATGAACGGAGACGTAACTAAACTAAACTTACCTTTAAATTCAGACCATGCTTTTTCAACTGATAAGCTAGTATCTACAAACCAACCTGTCTTAGCAGCGCACTCCTGAATGGCTGATATGTTAGCTTTCCATACATTTGGGCGAGGTGTAACCTGGTTGTATAACATGTCCCAACTTCTAAACGTGAATGACAAAACAGCGTGATCACTTTCACTAACGGTGGAAGAATATTTAGGTCGATAATATCCTCAGTATCATGAGTGATTACCAAGCACAACAGAGAAGAACCTTGGTTAGCACAAAAACGTGTGGGTTTGGATACATGCTGCACTAGTGCATGCTCCATTATTGTTATCAGAAACCCACTATCAAGAAGTTTATAGATTCTTCTGTGGTTATCTCAGTCCGACTAATACCAGGTGCATTAACGTCTCCTATTATCAAGCATCTGGTATTTCCACTCCAAAGATGAATGTGTTCTAAAATAAAGTCATCAGTTAAGCAGATTGGGCCGCGATAAATGACAACGAGTATAAATGTACTACCTCCGATAGCCAATTTACAGATAATAACTTCACAACTACCGCTATCATGGGATTCGCTAGCAGAGGAGCGGATATATATATATATAGCAGGACGCCACCTCCTTTTTTACATCTATGGCTACCACTCCTTAGGTAATGGTATCCGAATAATTCTGGTGTAATGTCTAAGTCATTGACTAACCAAGTTTCTGTCACTGCTACAATGAGTGGCTTTAATCTATCCACTAATGCTTCTAGTTCGTAGAACTTATTTCTTAGACCAAGAGCATTGGCAGATAAAACTCCCAAGTCGAACGACCAATCCACATGGGCCTTGGTAGCATTCGCTCCCAAGACCTGATTATCCGAAAACTCACTAGCTGAATATTTTTCTCACCGTTTTGCCGACGGGTTTCTAGTTCGGCTAATGCTCTCTTCCCTTTTATTCTGTCCTCGAGAGACATATCAGGTCTAACTCGGATGTCGGAATTGTCGTGACAACAAGCGCTACTTAACAGGAGATCCCGTTGCTTCTCCGATCCTGGGATTACCTTAAGGAGTCTGCATGGTCGTGGTTCAACATTGTCCTCAGTCCTCTTGCCTATTCTAACCAGCTTTTTGACCTGAACTCCTTTAGAATTATCTGGTAAAATACTACGAATATATTCTCCCAGCTTCTCTAAATCATGCGCGTGACTTATTTCCGTTACCTTACCGCAGATTACAGAGTGATCTACTATTGGATTATCGCGTACCGAAAGATGCTTTACCTTTCTCCTCTTTCTGGGACTGATCATCTGAGAGTTACCTGTAGACGTGGCCTACACTGATTTCAGTAAAGCCTTTGATAAAGTTCCTCACAACCGGCTGTTATATAAGCTAAGAAATGTCGGAATCGGAGTCAGTCTATTGATGTAGATAAAAAACTTCCTAGTTGGGCGTCAACAAAGAGTTCGGGTGAACTTTTCGTGCCTTAAGGTAACCCTCGTGCTATTGATAGAAGAAACCAGAGAAGTAGTGAATAGATCTTTATTTCGATCTTCGCGCAGTCACAGTGGAGCGTGGGATTATCTGTTCAGACAAACAAAGGCTCTCAACATTCAATATAAGATAATAGGGAATATAACGCTTATACAAGATAAGGAAGTGAATGAATACTTGAACAATACTGTCTTGGCATATGCTTGGTTGTTTGGGGTCAACTCTAAACCAACCAACCTAAGCTGTTACAAACTCAAAGTTATCTAGTTGGGGAACTGTGCTTAATGGAGTGCTCCAGGGTACAGTTTTGGGGCCAGTGCTATTCCCCTCGCATGTAAATGACCTTCCTTGTCTCCTATCATCATCGGTATTGCTATATGCCGACGATGTCAAGATATGGAGAATGATACGATGTTAGAGTGATGGCTTGGAACTCGTAAATGATCTGAAAAAATTTTCTGAATTGTCTCAAACCTTGCAGTTGTCGATAAATACTTCCAAATGTTTTGTGATGCATATCGGTTATCAAATTACAGATGCATACATGATGAATAACGCTGGGCTACCTGTCGTCCGGACACATAATGGCTTGGGAGTCATCGTTAGTCAAGACTTAAAGACTACTTCACACTGCCGCGCAATAGCTGCCAAAGGTTTTAGAACCTTATGGTCAATACGTAGGGCTTTTAGTCATGTCGACGCTAAAACGTTTTTGACTTTGTATACAGTGTTCGTACTCCATAAACTTGAGTACTGCATACAAGCGGCTAGCCTTTGCCTAAAAAAAGACAGTGAGCTTCCGGAAAAGGTTCAGAGAACAGCAACTGAGCTGATTCCCGGAATAGCGAAGCTTCCGTATGAAGTTCGACTGGCCAAGCTAAACCTTTTCCCGTTGTCATATCGTAAAACTAGAGGCGACTTGATTACAGTTTTCGAATTGCCTAGCGGTAAATTCGCACCTGATACGCCCTCATTTTTCTTGTATTCCAAAACAGAGAATTTTCGAGGACACTCCAAAAGAGTTCACGAGCTCAGAACAAATTACTTGTCAGCTGACTATCGACTTTCCCATCGAATCACCAACGAGTGGAATTCGTTAACTCAGCACGTTGTTAAGGTTCCATCCGTCGACTCTTTCAAAAGAAAGTTGGACCAACTGAGAGACCACCATTGCCAGGACTAACACAGGCCATCAAGCCCCCTGTCCTTTCCAAACTGAAACTGATCGTTTACGTCTTGAGTTCCGTTCCTCACATCATGTAGCGAATTACCATAATTCTCCACAAGAACACGTAGTATTGGCACCTTCTGTCGATACTTTCGAAACGAGATCGAACCTGCTCAGTGTGACGAACTGAAAGGATTAACATAAATCGATAGACCGCTTGTCCTGTATAGCGCGCATTTGGTCTTCTGCGTTACACTTGCTCAAAAGCCTTTAACGCTGGCTAGTAACCTTCGTTTTTGAAAAAGCACTTTTTCTACGGTAAACTAAACCAATGAACGAGAGTGTTGGTTTCTACATTCCTCTTGGTGTTGTCTCCGCTTTTTGGTTTCTTGTTGGTGTTCTGGGCCCTGTTTTTGTGCCGAAAGGACCTAACAAAATGTAAAACAAAATATATTACTCATCATAAAATTTTCCAGGCTCTTGTCTGTGTCGATTGTGCTTACTGCTGTCTGTTGTTATTTGTTGTAAGTTCCTTTCACTAAAACTCATGAAGTACTAGTTGGATCGGATTTTACCTTGCACAGTACCATCCTTTTTTCGGACCTTCATTGAAAACAGGATCAATAAGAATTATCCAACAGCAGTGGAAGGTAATAGTTTTGATAATTTACACAACTATAAACACGGGTGTTTTCTTGTTAGTAAGGTTGGTGACTTCGAAGATATAATTGACAATATGGTCTTATACGGTTAAATAATTGTAGTCGCCAACAGAAATTTCCCGAGCAAATAAGTGTGTACTACTTTTTCAGCCAGTTGCCGACTGTATTTCTACCTATGATAATTCTTATGCCATCTCATCGTAGTAAAGTCAGACGTATGTCTTCACTTCTGGACTTATCTCTTCAAGCTATCTGACTAACATCTCAGGATTTCCTGAGTTGGTTTTCAAACCAAAATAACGTTTAACAATCATGAAAAAAGTCAAACTACTGCCTAGATTGCAGACATAGTGACTGATTTATAAGGTGGACTTGCGGACCACTTTATCTAGATGTACTTTTCCCCCTTGATATAGCTGGTCGAAAACTGGCGCCGGGTAGACTTATTTGCTTCGTTACTTACTTACTTACGCCTGTTACTCCTCGTGAAGGAGCATAGGCCGCTCACCAGCATTCTCCATCCAACCCTGTTCTGGGCAATCCTTTCTAGCTCCGTCCAGTTGTAATTCATCGTTTTCATATCTGCTTCTATTATCCGACGCAATGTGTTCTTTGCCCTTCCTCTTTTTCGCTTCCCTTCAGGATTCCAAGTTAGGGCTTGCCTCGTGATGCAGTTTGACGATTTGCGTAATGTATGTCCTATCCATTTCCATCGTCTTTTCCTAATTTCTTCTTCAGCTGGAAGTTGGTTTGTTCTCTCCCACAGAAGGCTATTGCTGATGGTATCCGGTCAATGGATGTTGAGTATCTTGCGTAGACAGTTATTTATAAACACTTGCACCTTCTTGATGATGGTTGTTGTAGTTCTCCAAGTTTCAGCTCCATACAGTAGAACTGCCTTGATGTTGGTATTGAAGATTCTCACTTTGATATTAGTTGAAAGTTGTTTTGAGTTCCATATGTTCTTCAATTGTAGGAATGCAACCCTTGCTTTGCCGATCCTGGCCTTTACGTCTGCATCTGAACCTCCTTGTTCATCGATGATGCTTCCCAGGTATGTGAAGAATTCTACATCTTCCAGAGTTTCGCCATCAAGTGTGATTGGATTGCTGTTCTCCGCTTTGAATTTGAGGACCTTAGTTTTCCCTTTGTGTATGCTGAGGCCTACTGATGCAGAGACTGCTGCTACACTGGCTGTCTTTATCTGCATCTGTTCGTGTGTACGTGATAGGAGGGCTAGGTCATCTGCGAAGTCCAAATCGTCTAATTGATTCTGAGCTGTCCATTGTATTCCGTGTTTTCCTTCAGATGTTGAGGTCTTCATAATCCAGTCGACCACCAGAAGAAAGAGGAAGGGAGAGAGTAAACAGCCTTGTCCGACTCCGGTCCTTACTTGGAATGCATCTGTCAGCTGTCCTCCATGCACTACTTTGCACTGTAGTCCGTCGTATGAGTTCCGGATAATATTGAAAATCTCAGGAACTCCGTAGTGTCGAAGAAGTTTCCATAATGTCCTCCTATCTACACTGTCGAATGCCTTTTCATAATCTATGAAGTTTATGTATAGTGATGAGTTCCACTCAACTGATTGTTCGACGATGATCCGTAGTGTTGCAATTTGGTCTTTGCACGACCGATCCTTACGGAATCCGGCTTGTTGATCTCGAAGTTGGGCGTCTACTGCATCCTTCATCCGGTTCAGCAACAATCTGTTGAAGACTTTCCCTGGTATTGAAAGTAGTGTTATGCCTCTGTAGTTTTCACATTTGCTCAGATCTCCTTTCTTTGGAATCTTGACGAGGTGTCCTTCTTTCCAGTCCATCGGCACTTGTTCCTCCTCCCAAATCTTTTTGAATAGAAGATAAAGCATGATTGTGGTTGCTTCGATGTCTGATTTCAGTGCTTCAGCTGGTATGTTGTCGGGTCCCGCTGCTTTCCCGGTCTTGATTTGTCTGACGGCCATTCTAATTTCTTCCGTCGTTGGTGGGTTGACATCTATAGGAAGATCTATGTGTGCTGCTTCGATGTCCGGTGGATTCATTGGAGCCGGCCTATTCAGGAGTTCCTCGAAGTATTCTACCCATCTGTTACGCTGTTGTTGAATTTCGGTGATTGGCTTGCCTTCTTTGTCTTTGACCGGCCTCTCTGGTTTACTGTATTTCCCTGATAGTTTCTTCGTTGTATCGTAAAGCTGTCTCATATTTCCTTCTCTAGCAGCTTTTTCTGCCGTCGTTGCTAGTTCTTCCACATATTTCTTCTTGTCGGCTCTAATGCTCCTCTTCACTTGTTTGTTTGCTTCTATGTATTCAGATTGTGCTTGGACTTTCTCCGCTCGTGTTCGGCTGTTGTTTATTGCTGCCTTCTTGGTCTTCCTTTCTTTGATCCTGTCCAGTGTTTCTGTAGAGATCCATTCCTTATGATGGTATTTCTTTAGACCGAGAACCTCTTGACACGTTGAAGTTAATGCTTCCTTGATGCTTTTCCAGTTGTCCTCCATAGTAGTTTCTTCTTCTTTCAGTAGATCTTGTAAGGCTTGGAACCTGTTGTTGAGAGCTATCTTGAATTCATTGAGTTTGTCAGTATCTCGAAGGAAGGCTGTATTGAACCTTTGCAGTGCTGTTTGTCCACTTGTCCAGTTCTTTTTTAGCTTCAGTTTTAAATTGGCTACAACTAGGTGGTGGTCTGAAGCTATGTCAGCACCTCTCCTGGTTCTCACATCTTCCATTGTCCTTCGGAATTTTTTGTTGATGCAAATATGATCTATTTGGTTCTCTGTAGTGTGGTCCGGTGAGATCCATGTAGCCTTGTGTATACGCTTGTGTGGAAATATTGTGCCTCCTATGACCAATTTGTTGAATGCACATAGATTTGCAAATCTTTCTCCATTTTCGTTTCTTTCTCCCAGTCCATTTCGTCCCATAATATCTTCATATCCAGTGTTGTCTATTCCGACTTTGGCATTTAGATCTCCCATCAGAATAGTTAGGTCCTTTCTTGGGCATTTCTCTATGATTGACTGCAGCCGCTCGTAGAATTGATCTTTAATGTCGTCGTTGCTATCATTGGTGGGTGCATAACATTGGATAATATTCATTAGGATCCCCTTCTTTGTTTTGAATGATGCTTTGATGATTCTGGATCCGTGAGATTCCCATCCTACAAGTGCATTTCGTGCTACTTTGGACAGCATAAGAGCGACTCCCTGAGTGTGTGGAGAATTGTGCTCTTCGTGACCGGAGTATAGCAGCATCTCTCCCGTAGCTAGCCTTTTCTGTCCAGCTTGGGTCCAGTGGGTTTCGCTGATTCCCAGTACTGCTAAGTTGTATCTCCTCATTTCCATTGCTATTTGACTGGTCTTCCCGGTTTCCCACATTGTTCTAACGTTCCATGTACCTATAAAAATTTTTGCTCTGGTTGTTAGAAGGGGCATCGGCCTCGTGGCTTCCGAAGGAACTCGGCTTTCACCATGAAGCGTCATAATTCTTCTAAATGAAGACCTTCTAACTCCCAGGGCAGAGTTAAAATGGTTTGGATTATTTTTTCTGGTAAGCGTTTTTTTAGCGAGTTAGTTTTCTACGGGATGGGGACGCTAACCCCATGCCCAATCCTCCTCCTTTACCCGGGCTTGGGACCGGCAGCAACCCTATAAGAGCTACAGGCGGAGTTGCTCTATAAATAAACTGGTAGATAAATAAGTGAGAACAACTACACGTAGTTTTTGACTGGCATTATTTTCTTGTTATTGCTTACGGATGTGTGTAAGGTAGATTTTTTACTCATAGTTTGTATTTTTTTATAGTAAGCACTTATTTTAGGCTTGGCTATGGGAAATTTAAAGAATATCTTTCAGCATATAAAGTTGTAATTTCTGTCAGAATGAATTATCGTGTATTGCGAATTCATAAAACATGACTGAATTTATATGCATTATTTTGATGCTGTAATTCATTAACCAAATATAAATTTACGTATTTAGCTATCAGTGATACTCATGTGAGTATTAGTGACACTCTGTATCTGCCTGAATCAAAGTAGGTGGGTTTAAGTTCAAGCATTTAGTCTATTAGATGGGTACCAAATACCTTATTTACTTGACCATTTCCCTATTATTTTATTGAAGTAATATATTCCAACTCGTTTATAAAATACCTCGTCCACATATGCTTAATTATGTTCATACTGTTACATAGCTTTTCATTCGAAACGATGTAGTAGCTGTCTTTACTAATACTATTCTAAAAACTAACATTCTTTATTTCTAATAAAAAGCTAAAACTGACCTGAAAGAAACACTCGAGCGATTTAATGAAGTTCACCCATCCATAAAATTCACATGTGACGTAGAAAATAGAGGTAGAATAACTTCTTTAGATATTCTGCTTACAAAGAGAAAAGATGGACCACTAGAACGAAACTTAAGCAAGAGAACTTCTTGGACTGATCAATGTACAAATTTTCTTAGTTTTATTCCTCTACAATATAAAAGTAACCTGATCAAGATATCACTATGTAGTCAAAATCATATGCTCCCTAGATGTGGTTGGAGAGGAAGCAAAGGCATTGCGTACTACCCTACTTAAACTTATCTTATTTGTACATATTATTATTATACTCTCATACATTGGTTTCTGATCGTCTTTGTTCTGCTCTTTTTATACACACTTTGCATTCTCTATCTCTTCACAATCTTATTGTTATTGGAGGGCACATATGTATTTGGCGCGCCTCCCTCGTACCAATATTTATGTTTAAATAAATAATGATTTGAATTGACTTTAAATTACAATTCTTAAATCGCATGTTGTAATTTTATACGATGTACTCTGCCTCAGAACTGCCCAGTGTTTTAGATTAACAATTTGCATATCTAATTGTAGGACCTGGAGAGAAATTATTGAAAGGAATATTCTTCGTTCACATATCTGTATTTTAATATAATGGGAATTTCTTAGTAATTAAAATATGACAAATTATTTTTGAATAGGCCATATTTTACATTCTTCATATGATAAAAAACGAATTCAATTGGAAATACGTGTACACTTTTATTTTGAATAACTGTCCGTACCTAAATAGAATCAGTGGAATATATCAATGGGTTGATTAATACTTCATAGTCGGTTCGTTGTCTTTGTTCTTTTAGTTTAGCCATCTTTGCGATAATAGTTTGGTTAGAGTTCTGGTTATAATTTACCACCCTTAAACTACTTATAATGTTTCTTCCCAATGTTTATCTATTTCAGCACAAATAAGTTTAAGAAGAACCTATCCCGAAAAGTAGAATTCTGTGTTACAATTCAGTTGATTGTTTACTATACCGTCAATTCTTTATAAAGTAGAAGAATGAATTATCTTTCCATTTTTTGTTATTTTTGATTCACTTCCATGGAAAAATACTCAGAGAACTGATGTTTTTATGCTAATTTTTTTTCAGTTTCTATTTTCTACTTTGTTTATTGATCGCCTTTTTTGTTTTTTAAAATTTGATTATAAGGTTAACAATTGATTTTTCTTGATTAATAAATTTTCTGACCTGTCGATTGCTAACAATAGTGATTTGTTGGAATATCTTTGTTTTTTGAATGTAATTAGATTTGTTCCGTTTGTTTTCTGGGGATAGGATTGTGTTCTATAATTAATGTATTTTAAATATGTATGATCTAGGTGTCGTTGTATAAGTCATTAGAGATTTGTTACCGCGAACCAGTTCGGTTTATTTGTAGATAGCTTACATATTCCTAATAGACAGTTTAACGTGTCGTAATTGGGATCGCGGTAAAGACTGGAAATCACTAGATAGTTTATGGTAGTCAAAAGGAAAACATGTGCCTGGGTTTCGTGCTGGTCGGCACTCGTCAGTAGAGTGTGCCTGAAATCTTTAGGGAGCTCATGCTCCTTGAGGAATTCGAACGCGCGTCTTATCTGAGTCGTACAGGTGGTTAGTCACGGCCCAAATAGCTCAGTACCAACATGTTGAATTGTTAAGCTCCATGACAGCGGATTCCTTTTATCACGACGTAACATCCCCAGTTTAGTGTGCAATGTTTTGAGTCACTTGAACTAGTGACCACGTAACTACTTCATTGGTAGTGTTCGGCTAACATTAAATCGCTAGACAAGCATGACGTTTGTCACTACTCAATGATTAGTCATTTGTAACTATGATAGTCGTTCTGTGTCCTGGTTAATTTATAACTATCAGTCTTTATGAGATTAATCATGTTATATGATAAAATATGACGCCAAAGAAGATTAGTGTTGAATTGTCTTCTCCACGGAAGCAATTATATTAATAACGTGGATACAACAAATATTGTCCACCTGATACAATATGTGAGTAGAGTCTTGATGCAGTTTAGAAAATATCGAAACCTTCCTGAGAATAAGAACGAAGTAGGTGATACAAAACTTTTGGTGTTTGACATCTTGTTTTATATTCCACTCTATGAAAGTATGTGGTTAGTTGATCGCTCTTACTACCAACTGATTCATTTTGACATGATGGTTGGTGATGGACGAGTAATTCAATATATTTGGTCTTCTGATCAGTAGTAAGTGTATCGGATGGCACTAGCGATGATAACATATGAAAACAAATCAGTAGCCTCTACATATCGATTCACATAATATATAAATAAGGCGTTATTTATCTAATATTGTTGTAGATCGGTGATTGCTTTTCTACACATGACATTTAATTTACCGTTACAGATAAGAAAATGTGTATCGGAAGTGTTACAAAGCTGTAAGGAAGATACAAGTAAAATAAAAAGTAAACTGAATCTCATAAGTTTATATAAATACTTGGAAATACCATACAACAGTGTGAGTCCATTATTGGTAATAGGGTCGGAAATGATTGAAAATGAAGTCAGTTACTGAAGATTACTCAGTAGTATGATGTAATATAAGAAAAGGAGTCCGACAAAAAGGATACAATATTAAGGAATACTGGAGGAACTAACACAGACCTCACAGGATAGTATATTTTCGCGCTCGAGCCTACGAGATTTCATTTATATAAAGGGTTAGTTAATCAAACAGTAGAAATTTAGTGGGCACAATCGTTCACTTCACAATGTCTAAATATACTTGGAAATACGACGTGTCATTTGAAAAACACTGCAGATGAATATCAATCACACTATGCCAACTTGTCATTGACTATGTTTCGTATGAAGTCTTCAAAGATCAAACAGATTTATAATACGTGCTTATAAGCATTTTAAATCATATCTGGATTTCTAAACAAAGTATAAACTACAAATTTAGATGAACATACTCTTCAAGTCAACATTAAAAAATATATTAAAGATTTATAATGTTGCAGTAGTTTACAAAAACACTTTTATAATCTTTTCGTTAATGTTTCATACGTTACTGATACTGATCTATAAAAAGAGGTCTTATCCGTTTGTATTACGATGTAGTTAACCATTTCTAAAAATATTTCGAATTTCTTATCATATGGATTTATCTATTATCGCGTTCTTTTGGTCCGAATAGTTTTTTCTAGTTAGCGCTTTGTTAGCCAGTTAGTTTTCTACGGGATGGGTTCGCTAACCCTATGCCCAACACTCCTTTATCCAGGCTTGGGACCGGCAGTAGCCCCAGAGGGGCTCCCGGTGGAGTTAGACCCAAGTTGGATAGCAACGGCTAGCTTCAGGGGAGATTCTATTATGCTCCGGCCATGGAGAAGAAAATGCCCCACATACACAAGGAGTTGCATTGATGCTATCAAAACAAGCACAAAATGCACTTATAGGATGGGAATCTCATGGACCAAGGATCATCAAAGCCTCCTTCAAAACAAAGAAAAAAGGCATTTCAATGGACGTCATCCAATGCTATGCGCCTACCAACGAATACAACGAAGACGTTAAAGATCGATTCTACGACAGGCTGCAGTCAGTCGTCGAGAAGTGCCCAACAATGGACTTGACCATTCTGATGGGGGACCTCGATGTCAAGGTTGGAATGGACAACAACGGATATGAAGATATCATGGGACGACACGGACTGGGAGAGAGGAACGAAAATGGTGAGAGATTTGCAAACCTATGTGCCTTGAATAAGCTGGTCATAGGCAGCAGTGTATTCCCACATAAACGCATACACAAAACCACATTGATTTCACCGGGTCGCACTACGCAGAACGAAATTGACCATATCTGCATCAACAGAAAGTTCAGGAGGACGATGGAAGACGTGAGAACCAAGAGAGGAGCTGATATAGCCTCAGATCATCACTTGATGGTTGCCAAGATGAAATTAAAACTCAAGTAGCATTGGACAACGAGGCGGACAACATCACAAAAGTTCAATACGGCCTTTCTTCAGGATACTGACAAACCCAACAAACTCAAGATAGTCCTCAGCAATACGTTCCAGGTTTTTCACGATCTGCAAGATAAGGATACATGAGACAATTGTATGATACAACAGAGAAACTCTCTGGAAATAATCGTAAGCCAGAACGACCAGTGAAATGCAAGGAAGGCAAAGTAATCACCAACACTGAAGAATAGCAAAACAGGTGGGCAGAACACTTCAAAGAACTCTTGAATCGACCAGCTTTACTGAACCCACCTGACATCGAAGCAGCACCCACCGACCTCCCAATCAATGTTGGCCCACCAACAATTGATGAGACTAGTATGGCCATCAGACAAATCAAGAGTGGCAAAGCAGCAGGACCAGACAACATTACAGCAGATGCACTGAAAGTAGATGTAGCAGTAACTACAAGGATATTCCACATTCTCTTTAGCAAGATTTGGGATGAAGAACAAATATTAATAGACTGGAAAGAAGGACACCTGATCAAGATACCAGGGAAAGGCGATCTTAGCAAGTGTGATAACTACAGGGGTATCACTCTTCTCCTTAATACCAGGAAAAGTGTTCAACAGGGTATTGTTAAACAGAATGAAGGACTCTATAGATGCCCAACTTCGAGACCAACAGGTTGGATTCCGTAAAGATGGATCTTGTACAGACCAAATCGCAACTCTACGGATCATTGAGGAACAAACAATTGAATGGAATTCATCACTCTACGTCAACTTTATTGACTACGAAAAAGCATTTGATAGTGTGGACAGAACAACACTATGGAAACTTCTTCGACACTACGGCGTGCCTCAGAAGATAGTCAATATCATACAGAACTCATATGATGGATTACACTGCAAAATCGTGCATGGAGGACAGTTGACAGACTCGTTCGAAATAAAGACTGGTGTCAGGCAAGGTTGCTTACTCTCACCCTTTCTCTTTCTCCTGATGATCAACTGGATCATGAAGACGTCAACATCTGGAGGAAGCATGGGATATATAGAACAGCTAGGATGCAGTTGGACTATCTAAACTTCGCAGATGGTCTGGCCCTCCTATCGCAATCGCAACTCAAAATAATTGGCAACCAACACCAAGGTCAGAATTTTCAATGCAAATGTCAAGACGGTTCCACTGTATGGGGCGGAAACCTGGAGAACTACGAAAGCCATCATCTAGAAGATACAGCTGTTTATTAACAGTTGTCTACGCAAAATTCTCCGGATCCATTGGCCGTACACTATTAGCAACAACCTACTGTTGGAGAGAACAAACCAGATCCCAGTGGAGGAAGAAATCAGGAAGAAGCTCTGGAAGTGGACAGGAAACACATTGAGGAAAGTACCCAACTGTATCACAAGGCGAGCCGTCACGTGGAATTCTCTAGGTCAAAGGAAAAGAGGAAGACCAAAGAACACATTACACCGAGAAATGGAGATAGACATGAGAAAAATGAACAAAAATTGAATACAAGTAGAAAGGAAGGCCTAGGACAGAGTGGGTTGGAGAATGTTGGTTGGCGGCCTATGCTCCACTGGGAGTAACAGGCGTAAGTAATCTATTATCGCTCTTGTTGTGATCGTACGCATGACAGCCTATTCCATCAATATTTTGTGGTAAACGTAATCAGAACTCCGAAGTTTAGTTGGTGGGTTTCTGCTCTCCAGATGCACATGTGACAACAGTTCAGTCATCATAAGATACCATCATGGATCCTGGCCTTAACGAAACATCGACAGTTGGTGTTTATATATGTCATTCTGAAGTTCTTGTTTTCAACGATTATATGAAGCTTGAAATAAATTTGCCTGACCAACACTCGTGTATTATGTTATGGATATGAAATCCCTTCAAAGAGGAATCCTGTAGTAATTGGCAGTTATATAGATCGAAATATTATTTGCAACCTAGATGC